ACAGCTTATGCCAGTTCTGGAAAAGGTATTCAGTGGACACTCACGGGGAAACTAGAAGATCTGGAGTTTGCAGATGTTCTTGCCTTACTCTCGCACAGGCTACAGGACATGCAAGAAAAAGTTGATGCATTAGGAGCCATCTCGCAGCGCGTAGGTCTGAAGATCAACAAAGAAAAGACGGAAATGATGAGAATTAACAATAAACAGGAGGCTCCAGTGTCAATAGACGGAAGACAGGTAAATGATGTGCAAGAGTTTGTCTACCTTGGCAGCAAGATCAGCAAAACGGGAGGCACAGAGGAGGACATACGCGCTAGAGTTAATAAAGCCCGCTGCGCTTTCACAGTCCTGCGACCCATATGGAAAAGTTCGGCCATCTCCACTACCACAAAAATTAGGATATTTAACTCTAATGTCAAGGCAGTTCTGCTGTATGGAGCAGAGACATGGAGAGTCTCCAAGGCAAGCACAGCAAAGATACAGACCTTCATGAATAGATGCCTTAGACAGATATTGAAACTGACATGGCAGGACAAAGTGCCGAACTTGGAACTATGGAGGAAAGCTAGGCAGGAGCCTATAGGTGTGCAAATAAGAAGGAGGAAGTGGCGCTGGGTGGATCACACACTGCGAAAGGCTCACCCAAATGTTACACGCCAAGCGCTGTTGTGGAACCCCCAGGGAAAGCGGAAGAGAGGGCGCCCAAGACAGACCTGGAGGCGGAGTTTTCTTGAAGAACTGAAGCCAATAGGGATGTCTTGGGAGATGTCAAAATTAATAGCCGAGGATAGGAAGAAATGGAAGGAAATGGTGGAGGCCCTATGCTCCATAAGGAGCAAGGAGGACTAAGTAAGTAAATAAGATGGGTGAAATATAAACCTTGGATCTCGGCCTTTAAAATCTCAGTGGACGCCCAGTTTAATGACGAGCCATTGATTTAAAAATGATAAGTGTTCTCTTCACGCTGATCATTTCAAGTTTTCACAACCAAGAAATCCACCCACCTTCTTTACATTGTTTGTTAGTTAATGTAGTGCTCGGCACATATTTGCGAAAAAAGAACTTGACATTATATTTCGATATGGTTTTGAGATGTTTGCATATTATCTGTCTATAGTGAAGATAGGTTTCGTACACAAACTATTGCTTAAAGCGATACCACTTTAATTAGGTTTTTCTACAACACATGGAACAGCAATAGATATTAACCAATTTATAATTAGAGCTAACTTTTATTAGGCTCACCGTGAATAATACAAAAATATATTTGCAATACAAACAGAAATGTTAAATTTGCAAAATACAAGTATAGAGTAATATTTATGATTGTCAAATTAGTTTTATTGCATCCATTTTTAATTATTTTCTTATTAAGGACTTAATAATATTACAAATATACATTCTTAATATTATATAAAGTAAAAGTAATGCTAGATAGAGTTATAAAACAGTCATGATATCTTCAGTGTATAAAGTAAATAATCCTAGCGATCCATTAGGAAGACGAAGTAGAGTTCTTGTATTTCTTGACCTCGGCATATGAACAGAAGATTTAGTTATTGATTTAGGTGGACATTAGACCTAAGCGGACTCGTGGACGCTGAACTTGCTGGATCCAGATTCTATCTTGAGATTTTTGGGTTAGCAGAACATTTTCTCTACCGCATAGCCACGCCGTTATCTCTTGAGTGTATGAAGTTTAATATAAGCTCATAGCAAGAATGAACCCGTATGATAATATTCAACTGAGATAATATTTTGATTTTAATTTTTTGGTTTAGAAATACACTATATTCCTTTCAACTAAATTCTTAAAATAGTAAAACCGCTTCCTTTTTGCAGGAAAGACCCTGGTCCTGATTGTTGAACTTTAAAATATAGTTCTTGACCTTTCTTCAACGGAACCACAGTTGATCCGCAAGCAGGAATATTATCAGTTTTCGCATAAATAGTTTTATACTTTAGTTTTCTAACTTTTTATGACGTCACACTCCGTTGACTCAAGCACATGGACAAAAATTGTGTCTTCATGAATTCAGCCCACTTTTAATGATCATTATTACTAAATGAATAGTCGATTTAAGCTACAAAAGTGCTAATAGTTTTATTATTCACTATTTTATGTGTATTAACAGTTTATTTCACATATTAGAATAATTTAAGAAGCCATCTTTGGATACGTTTTTGCGACATCAGCAACAAAACATACAATTGTACTTGGGTGCCAAGCAAGTGCACAGGAAAGTGATGCGTCGCCTAGCTAGCGAAATCGTATATTACGCGTTAATACAGTTGGTTTTTATTCTAAGATTTATAATGATTTATCTACTTACCATTCCGATATAAATCATCCCCATTTATCTTGGCAAAGAAGCGACGCACCCCTACCAATTTTTTTTCTTATTTTATCGTTACACAATACGCTTTGTTTCTTTTCTAAATGTTATAACGGTCATCTACCAGTCCAGGATAAATCATTCCGATTTTAGTCGACAGAATTGCACCCCCTCCTCTCCCATCTTGATGGTAAACGATCTTTCCAGGTCTCTGGTTCTTAAGAGTGTACTTCACATTTACCCAAGCAATGTAGAAAGCAGTTGAATAAAGAATTCTATCCGTTTAATTTCTTAACTTTGACCGTTTATAATTCAAAACTTCAGCTTATTAAAATTGACTTTTACCGCTTTTTGTGCTTCCCTACTGTCGGCAGGGGACGACCCCACCCGCTGCCCCTCTACATCAACTAGACCCATGGGTAGCCAACACTAAAGTAGACAGGTCCATGTTACTTCACTGATAGTAGTTATATAGCTGTAGACTTGTTTTGTATTAAGATTGTATACTAGTACTAAAAGCAAACCAAACACTTGCGATAATATTAAAAACCACCAATCAAACAGCCACAACAAATTAAGCAATCACGCTTAACTTAATTAACACGACTAGACAAAGAACAGAAGAAGATGAAAACAGACTAGTAGCAACGGCTATTTATTAATCGACTATATTGGAATATAGAATAAGGTCTGTTTTTGTTTTTTTTAAATATTGTGCCATCTAGCTAAAAGAAATATTTCAATCTAAGACGGAATTGGAAATCTCACCAAACTAAAAAAAAAAGGATGTAGTCTTTATTTCACTTCAGATGACCGAACTGTGGCGAATAGATGTAAATTTTAACGCGAATCATCTTCTTAACGGTCTTGCGAGTTGTTTGATGTGCAAAACACGTAAGCTACAGTGGTTTATTTCTCATTAAATAAACCGGGAGTAATCTCCCCTAAACTTTCACGAATATTCTAATATAAATCTACGTGGAATGGCAACTCAGGACACAGACAATATGTGTAATCCATTTTTAATTACTTAAACTTTTTATAATAGATATAAATCTCGTAAAAAAAAAGAATTGCACACCAAGTGAACGCCTAATAAAATGTGCATAATAGTGCGGGATATTATTAGTACTTTATAAATTTATATGCGTTTTTTGAGAAATCGGAAATAGCGTAAATTAGTACTTCCGGTTAACGGAAATTACTCAAAATTTGCCAGAAGGTAAAGAATTAAATCTTTTACTTACATGTGAAATTTCAATTATCTATCTAAAATAGTACTCAAGTTATAGGCTTTTGAAAAATTCAAAGTAGGAAAAGTACCACTTCCGGTTATCGGAAATCGCTCACAAGTTGATACGGATCTACGATTTTGATAACATACTTATATATGAAATTTCATCAACCTAGCTGTAACGGTACTCAAGTAATCGTGTTTACACACACACACACACACACACAGACACACAGAGATACGGATAAGATTGCAAAATTATGTTTTTCCGTATCAATGAGGTGTAAAACGTCATTTTTTTTAAATCTCGATTTTTTTTGCACTATTACAATACCTTCTCTATACATCGTATATACGAGAAAGTAAAAAAGAAATAAAACTCGAGTAGCCTTGTTTAAGTTACGTAAAATTACATTCTTCACTAAACCTTAACCCAACTAAATAAACTAAGCATTTTTTTTTAAATCCCCAATTAAAGCCAGACCCCCCTCTCCGCACAAAATATATCTCCTTATTTACTGTATGTCTTTTTATTTAAGTTATTTTAACTTTTTAAAAGGCTTATTATTTCTCTAATCTGATGTTCATATTACACGCGAAGTAACTTTCTGCCTGCATAAAGTTTCGTACTTTTATTATGCTTGTGTAACATTGGCGGTGCTGTATGTATAATTTAGATAAATAAATGGAAAGAGTCTAGATATTAGTTGATTAACGGTTGTGTTAGGATCAACACAGCTCAGCTATAGGTCTCTTAGTAACAGGGTAGCATGCCCAACATGCATAATATATATATATATATATATATATATATATATATATATATATATATATATATATATATATATATATATATATATATATATATATATATAATATGGTCTATATATTGTCAGACTTATGTATAGTCTATTTATGTGTGCGTGTGTTTGCGAAGGTGTTAATTCACATACACTGTTACTCACTAGAATCACAAGAGCGGTTTTTGTTTCGAGAATAACTGTAATTTATTTATTTTTTAACGTGAAGCAAAACAAAAGTTATTGACAGTATCTTTCAAAATATTTACAAATTCATAACAATAATTAACTTTTTAAAATATATCTCACACATATTTAAGTTACCCAGTAAACTTATTCCATGTTTTTAATAGTTCATTGTGTTTGTCCGAAAACGCGGATTTCATTTCAAAATTTACACACACAAACTAGGTTTTGTTTTTAACAAATACAATGATACACATATACATAGAAACAAAAGATTTTTAAAACCTGATGTATCTCGTATGTTTATTGGGGGTCCAAAATCAAACAACTGCTGCCTTGTAGTTTGTTCTTGGTTGGACAAAGGCTATGGAAGCAAACCCAAAAAGAAAAGCAGGCTGAAATCGGAGTCAATGGCCTCAATGGCGCATACCCCATTGACACGTAATCCTTAATTGTGATGGAAGCATGGTCGAGTCGGAAAAGCTCATGGTTGATAAATTCGAAAAAAGTCTCGAGTTAAAACTCTCTGGCAGATAAGGCTCGATCTCTCCCAACACTAAAAATTAAGAACAAAGAAGAAGAAGAAAGATATGTTTATAGTGGTCAAGTACAACATATTAATTGGTGATCACATTGAAAAAGTTGGAACTGTATAATGATGACTAAAACAACAACATACAAACCATTAAATGTTTATGGACATGCAGTAAGTTGTTAGCGTGTGCTTAACTTGTTGGTTACATGTTTTATTGTTTTGAGAATTTGCCATCCACCATGTTTTGTGTTATACTTCTATAAACTAACGATAGTAAAACTACTGAAGCCGGATAACTTTGCGCCTTGTTCTGCGAGAAACACTTTAAAGTAAAGTTCTTGACCTTTCTTCATGTCAACAACCACTGACCCAGCAGCGCTAGTGGCGGCACATTTCACATGTATAAACTTACACCACTCTCCTCCAGCCCGAACACCAACTCCAATCTGTTTATCTTCCCTTTCATTCAGAGTCACACAGACAAGATATAAACCATCATGTGGTGATACAAATGTTCCTGTTGTGTGATTGAAATGTTGACCGTTATATTCACGTACTTCGCTAAATGTTGAAATAATTGATCCAGTACTGACAGGTGTGGAATAAACAAGCGTCACTTGACAAGCATATCTGTTACATACACGTGACTCTGTTGATTAGAAAACAAGTTACATTTTACGAATATTCTGAATACTTGATCCATAATATTTGTAAATTGTCGTTTCATTAGTTTAAGTTATCATCTCATTATATGTGTTTTGTCTGCAGTTTATAATGTAAGTAAAATTGACAAACCCAAATCAAACAATAATTTTTCAAAAAATAAACTGTATATAAGAATCTATATTGTTTACATAACTTTGTCCAAGACCATAAATTGAAACACTACACCTTTAAATTAGTACGGTCCTTAGTTTGTGTGGTGCTAGCTTATCGTTTCCCATGTATTGACACTACCAGTTTAGCAGGTCAATTTAAACGTCACAAAACGTACAACACATGTAGGCCTATATACGTTATGCTAAAACCGGGTCTACGACAAATTCCTGAAATACACTTGCCCAAATGCCGTTTGCCCCAAGGCCGATTTCCCGAACGGACACTTTCCCGATTGCGAAAAATATCCGAATGGGCATTTGTTAATATAAAAAAGACATTCTTAATCAATTCAATGTTACACATTTTGATAACACAATTCTGGACATAAAAAAACAAATGTGTTTATATTTTTAAAAATGTATATACATTTAAAATTTAACATTTAATGTTTGAAAATTGAGAAAATGCAGTAAAATAAAAACATTAATCTTTAATAATGTAATGCTATGTTGACGGCGGTATTTTATACTCTCTTGGTGTAAGTTTTGAAAACCTTGTTTAGCCGACGTGCTGCGATGGTTATATAGCGTCTATGACACGGTCAGTGTTTCTTCCAGACTTTTTCTCCGGTGGGGGCACTTGAAATTTTCGGGGGGGGGGGGGGGGGCGGTAGACTTTCTTCGGAGGGGGGGGGGGACACTGTTAAAAGTATACATTTTCTATATAAATTATATAAATTTCATTTCGTTCGGGGGGGGGGGGGGAGCGGTAAAAATTTTTATGCCTGGAAGAAACTCTGGACACGGTGTAGGCGACGCGGCGTCTCGCAACATTTGTTTGATTTTTTTGTTTCGTTTAACTTGTGGGGTGATCATTTCACAAAGAACGAGGCGCGGTCCAGGCGGCGAAATTAAAAACTAAAGGTAGTCAATTATATTTGATCTTCATTTAATGCTCCTTGTTTAGATAATGTGTTGAAGCTATTACTTAATACAAAAAATGAGAATCATTTTAAAAACCTCAGATAAGCGAAAATTATATATTCGTCTTGTTTTATAGATAGCAAAAGATGTAGGCCCTACGCTTTCTATAATATAGCAAATACTAATTAATTCATAATGCCTGCTTGCAGATATTAAATAGTATTTTGTTCCCTTTCAATTTGTTTAGCCATTTATTTAATTATCAACATTTCAAATTTAAATTGATTAAAAATGATTTTTGGTAATCAGTAATGTTCACATTTTCGGGCGATTGGCTTTCGGGCAAATGGCTTTTGGGCATTGTCGCATTCGGGCAAGTGTCTTTCGGGAAATCGTCCGACTCCCATTATAATCATGCAGTTCGTATGTGTTCACATTATAGTTTAATTATATATGGCTTATCTATCGAAACGAAAATTATTAGAACTAAAGTTGTTCAGTTGTAGATCTACTTAATAATGACCGATCACAAGATCTGCACAGCATTTTGTAATGTTCATTTCAGTTTACAGCAAATTAATTAGATACTAAGATGTTAAAAATGAGTAATTATAAATGTTTTCATGTTATTACTTTTTTTTCTATTTCAGATCTGGCTCGTATGTTAAAACTTCTTAATATAAGAAACATAAGGGGATGACGTGACGTTAATTGAAATTAGATAATTTTAAACTGCAGCTCTGTATATGTCTTACTGTACTAGGGTAGACCGCTGTACGTCCGTATAATAGAAATGCAGAGAGTAAGAGATTTAGAGAGAGCGTGAGAGTGGGAGGTAAAAAAACCTATAAAACATTTTACCGATTGGTTATCATTGAGAATTATTTGATAGGTTTTACTATTCTTACATTTAAACGAGAAAATCAATAGATAAAATTGTCATAAAATTACTATTGTTATATAAATAAGTTTTAAAAACTTTTTTTTACAAAGCAAACTTACCTATGAGATGAAAATCGTTAGACAACTTTGAAATAGTATTTTCAAGTTCACCCAGCTAAATCAAAATAAAGCGTAAACGAAATAAATAAAAATATCATATGTATTCTGACTCACTAGCTTCAATAGATAATGGTAACTTTTAAGAAAAGGAAATGATTTATTGTATATTCTTATTTAATTATTAAAACTATTTATTAGTGAATTCCCAAAAATTATGGACATTACTGGAGTAATTTAGGATTTATCAATGTTGCAAATGATTTTTTAATACAGTATTACAAACATACCTTATTTAATTTTTCTTCCCTAGTTTCCAAGTTCTGGTTAAAGATTTGAATCAGTTTGTCAATGGGCATCAATCTTTGTTGTAGGAGTTTATACATTACATTGTGCTAAATTGAAGATTTATATATTCAACTATTTTTATTGTATATTAAAACTCACATACAATTAGCATTTATATAAAATTTATGATTATAGGTTAAGTTAGTCAACTGCCCCTTTTAACACTTTGAAGTAAATTAAATTGCAGTAAGAATAGAACTGTGTACAAAGAATACAGCAATTTTAAAATTTACCTTTGATTGTAACTTTTCAAATTGGGTTGATGTTTTGTCCAAGATTTTATTCTTTTCATCTTGTAAAGAAACAATCAAATCAGAATTGCTTTTAATTTCTTCTTTCATACTGTCTCTTATATCTTGCATCTCTTTGTTTATTTTGCGCACTTTGTTTTCATATTCATTCATATCTTGAGACAGTTTCTCTAGTGATTTATTTGACTTGGATTCTTTTTCTTTTAAACTTTCAATTTCTTTGTTCAGCTCATTTACTTTGTTATCTTGTTCATTCATTTGTTTTCTGAGGTTTTTAAAATTATGTTTTTGTTTTTTAGTCAGTTGATCAATGTTTACCCAATTGTCACTCTGTTCTGTTACAAAGTTGTCTCTCCGTTGTTTTATTTCTGATATGTCATCTGTAGACTTGTGTTGTGTGTCATGCAGTGAAGATAGTGTTGTTTCAATATAGGCGAGTCTACGCTCTAGGCAAGGATGTTCTTCAACTGAAAATAGTCGCACCTATACAGTTTATGATTTTAAAGGAATTAAATGTTGAAAAATAGATTCGTTAAAAAACAATTAAAGTAATTTTCTGTTTTTTTTTTAAATTAAACAGTATCAAACCGTACTAGTTATACCAAACAAAACTAAGACATACCCGCTGTATGTGTGACTTGTGTCTTGAGTTGTCTTGTTGATTCCACTGTTAGAAATGTTGCTGTTGTCTGTGTATCAGGCTGTGGTAAAGATGGCGTTGGTTTGTTGACATCCATGTTGTCCTCGTCTGGTGGATTGGGGTTTAGAATTTTATTTTATGACAGTAGGCTTTGAGATTTTAAATTATAAAAACTATTAGAGTATTGACCTAAAATATGTGACGTCACATCCAATAAGGCCGTGGCTGCTGTGTCCAGTTCTTGTGATAGCTCGATGTAGCTGACAGATGATTGGTCAGTTTTTTCTTCTAGCCACGCCCTACTTTTTGCAACAACCTGGTGAAAGTAAACAACAACAATATTTTAGAGTGGTCACGTGTTGGAGTGATATTTTCCTAAACAAGTGTTGTTGTTCTATATTTCTTAACACGTGTTCTTCGTAAAGGCTAAATCTACTTTATCCTGTACAGAATGTTTTTCTAAATTGTAAGTGTTACGTAAGTTGGTAATTACTTACATTTTTCATATTTCCTATAACAGGTTCCAAAACTTGTATCTGTTCTTCCAAATATTTCTTATGCTTTGTAACAAGCTTTACCTGAATTCTCGAAGGCATCTGAATATTATTAAAACTATTAATTTTAAAAATATAATATATGTGTATTAGTTGTTTTATTAGACAAAATCAATGTTATGTCTGTCATTATCAGTAAGTCGATATCTAAAGTCGATAATATGTAACCCATTTGTTTCCATCTACATAATTCTTAATTTTATTATTACTATTCCACTGCAAATTTTATAATTTACAAGCATAAAATAATTATTTTATCCTACGACAATTAAAGCAAAGTAGTAACTGCTCATTTATTCATTAAAATAGTCAGTCTAGTGCATATATCATCAATATCCGTCAATATTTTTAAATCCCCGAAGATGACTATAAAGGGGAGTAAAGGAAAGCATCATTAAAGGGGTCTGATTGTGGAGTTATTGTTTGCATTAAGTAGTTTACTCTTTATTAAATATAAATCCACTGCGCCAATTTGTCAGGCTTAAATTAAATCCATTATCTACGGACGGTAAGCCTAGCTCTTTGATTATTATTGTAATTTAAGGTGAATCTTTGAAATCATATAAATATTTATAATTTTTATTGAGTCATGTATAATTTTAGTGTACTAAAAGCAATATAGTAATTCATTGTTGAAGAAAAATATTTCATCCACAAATTAAGACAGTAAATAAAGAGTTAATTATAATAATGAAATTGAATATAATCAACCAGTTATAAATCTACCAAGTCTAATTTTTTCTCCTAAATTATCAAACTATAACTGGCAATCTACAGTTACATGAAAACTACTTTAAGTATTGTTATAACTTTTATAGATCTGTTTACTAAAGTCACAGGTAATTATGTAATACATATCAGAAAAATGCGATCGTTTTCCTTGGCTTCAATTATGTTATTTCCTGATAGCTAAAATTATACACATGGGCAATTCAGTTTTTCAGTTTCATTATCTGTCTAGTGATTTGATGAGCTATCTTAACAATTTTTCTGTAAATTGCCTAAACATACAGTAATAAAAAACGTTTTTTATAAAACGACCTACATACTTTTCTATTAATAAGTATATTTTAAGGAAATTATATATTATCAAGCTGTAGCCTATACTTAAAACTTAAGACAATTTAATAACTGAGTAATAATTAAAGAAGTAGAAGGGCTTTTTATTTTGTTTCAAATTCATTATTTTAGGTTGTTTGGTTACATTAAAAGGAAATGCTGTTTTAAAAATAGATTAAATCGATTAAAGATTAGCAGTACCTTAAATAGGCCTAGTCTTGTTGTGGGGAATCAAAGGACTAGATCTAGAATTTTGTAGAGTAGCTGAACTTCCTCCGTTATATAATAGCGGGGTTTCCCGATCGTGTTGTCAATATGAGAGTTATCTCTTGTAGTGATGATTTAACTACGTGTAGATCAGCCGCAACAAGAAATCTATTTCATCAAAACAACATTCTATCTAAAGGTAAGTAAACAATGGTAGATCTCAAACACGTCGTTTTAATTATTTATATAGCGACTAACGTGGGTGAAGTTCAGATGCGATATGGAAACATGATAGGTTGTATATCGAGGTGGTAAAATGCGAAATTAAAGCACGATAGGTGATATCTCGATGCGGTAAAATGCGAAATCGAAGCACAATTTATCAAATGTGGATGCTGTAAAATGCAAGCTTAAGCTGAAAGTTAAAACAGTCGTTTACGTAACATTTGTGTCGAGTAGTTGAATTACATCACTGGGACTATTGCATCTGCAGTTACATGTTATCATAGGCGTAGCGACCCTAGCCGGCCCGGGGCGAACTATCAACTTTGTGCCCCCTCCCATTTAATTTATATTTATTGACTTTAGTGGAAAAAAAAAATCACCCCCCCCCCCCCCACCCCGAGCTCTAGTTGAAAAGGTGGGTGGCACTTTTTAGCAGTCAATACTTTTTTTGGTGCCACACTTAGAGGGTGTACTTTTCAATACCTTAGCTATCAGTGATTTCTACCCAATTATCAGCCAACAATTTAGTGGTGCCACTTTATAAAACGCCTACTGATGTAACTTTAAAACCTCACTTTACTGTATATATGGCTAAGAAAAATACTTTTACTGTTTAGGTCACAACTTACAAACCTTGTCAATTCATAATTCATATTTACTGTCTTTGTAAAGTTAACATGACATGTGTCTACTTAATATTGGGTTATATGTGAGCAACAAAAACTAATCGCGGTACTACATTAATACAGTTGTAACTCGAGATAATAATTTAATTTGTAACATTGTTCGTGTCTCAAATTCACCGTGTTTCAATGCCATTTCCTACATCAACTTTCATTAAATGCTATTCTTCCGTTCCAGTACCCAAAATGGTTCCGCGGTTGTTGTTTGTGTTACGTATTTTGTAGAGAACAAAATTTTAACAAAAAAAAAACCAACAAATGTATAAAAACAAATGTAGGAAAAAGCAAAGAAATGAATTTGTTGTATTAAGTGTATTTTTTTTTTTGGAAATCAGCCGACGAGTTTTACTTAAGACGTTGTCGAGTAGGGGGAGGGGGCACAGAGTGTTCAATTAATATCTTATTTATTTCACATACATTTCAGTCATTTACTAGCTCATTCATTACACTCTTAATATTACTATCTTATATCTATACATAATACAAGTTTATTGAAATTAACTTAACAGTTGCACTCACAGCAACCCAATAATTAACCATTTATTTCGTTTCAATTTTGTTACTGCGTTTCTTTTCAGTGACCTTTACTTTTTCGCTGCGTTTTTTATACTTTACATGCACCTGTTTAAAACATAAACTGTGACAGAGTTTTGTTTCGTTTTCGCGTTCACAGTTTTGGTGAGGAGGGTACTAAAAAAACAGTCACTGATTAGTTGAATGATGATGATAAAGGAAATAAAATGAAATATGCAATATAATAGATAGTATCAAAACATTACACACTACGAAACGCTAACCAATAAATACTACGTAAACAGTATATACTACCCAATACTAACTATTATATAATACATATACAAGCAGTTATACTAACCTAAATAAACCGGGAGTGATCTCCCCTAAACTTTCTCGAATATTTTAATATAAAATTACGAGGGATGGCAACTCAGGACATTGACAATATTTGTTATCCATTTTTAATTACTTAAACTTTTTATAATAAAATAGAATCTCGTAAAAAAATGAATTGAACACCAAGTGAAAAGTTTCCCTTTCAAACCTGACGGTCTATGGGGCAAGTGAAGTAGAGTTCAGTTGTTTCTGTGACCTCGGCATATGAAGAGATAGTGTGGTCAGCACTATGCCCAGCCGCCTTTACTTTCCCTAACAGGAGTTAGGTACCCATCAGAGTTGGGTGGACTCAGGGACGATCTACTGACTTGAACCCGGATTCGAACTCGAGACTAACGGGTTAGCAGTCCAGCTCTCTACCGCTAGACCACTCCGTTCAAAACCAAGTGAACGCCTAATAAAATGTGCATAAAAGTGCGGGATGATATTAGTACTTTATATATTTACATGCGTTTTTTGAGAAATCGGAAATAGCGTAAATAAGTACTTCCGGTCAACGGAAATTACTCAAAATTTGACAGAAGGTAGAGAATTAGATCTTTTACTTACGTGTGAAATTTTCATGCATCTATCTAAAATAGTACGCAACTTATAGGCTTTTGAAAAATTCAAAGTAGAAAAAGTACCACTTCCAATTATCGGAAATCGCTCAAAAGTTGATCAGCATCTACGATTTTGATAAAATACTTATATATGAAATATCATCAACCTAGCTGTAACGGTACTCAAGTTATCGTGTTTACACACAGACAGACACACAGACACACAGACATACGGACAGAATTGCAAAGTCCAGTTTTTACGACTCGATAACGCATAAAACGCGAACACGTTTATATATTTGTATTTATAATTTTTGCCTGATTAAAATAAGTCATCTATACTCCGGATGTGATGAAGGACTGAGGAGTAAAACGGTGAAAACTGTCAAAATTTCATGTTATTTTTTGCACGATTACAATACTTTCTCTATAATTCGTATATACGAGAAAGTAAAAAACGATGAACAAATAATTAACGCATGTGTAACAATGTAAAGAAACGTTTAACAAAACATACATGTTTTTTTCCTACTTGACAGAGAAACGTGCAGCATGTCATAGATATGGTTGTTATATCCATCTGAAAGACAACTCAATGATCACATCGAATTCAAGGATGAAAACATTTGGTGAAATTAGAGAATACAACGGTCAACATTTTAATCAAACAACAGGAACATTTGTATCACCACATGATGGTTTATATCTTGTCTGTGTTACTCTACATGAATAGGAATACAAACAGATTAGAGTTGGTGTGTGGGCTGGAGGGATGTGTTTGTCTAAAGAAGTGAAATGTGCAGACACTAGCGCTGCTGGGTCAGTGGTTGTTGACATGAAGAAAGGTCAACAACTTTACTTTGAAGTGTCTCAAGCAGAACAAGCCGCAAAGTTATCTCACCGCAGTAGTTTTACTATCGTTAGTTTATAGAAGTACAACACAAAACATGGTGCATGGTTAACTTTTCAAACAATGAAACTTGTATCCACCATGTTAAATACCATGCTAAAAAAATTAATCTTGCAAAAATATTTTCTATTTCTTTATATAACTCCACGTGTTATTATTTGTTTTTATATCAATACAATAAACACCTAACCAGCCCACAGTTCTATTTACTTAAACAATATAAAATATTAAGTGTCAGGGACTGTACCAATAGGACTGAAGTTTTAAATCTTTACAGGAATGTTGTTAAGACGTTCTTTTGTTATTATTTTGTAAACACTAAAACAACATTAAAACTTTAAAGTGTGATGACTGGGACAAGGGACATAACCATTAAAATACATTTCAATGTCTAAATGTCTTCAAAAGTTTCTCCTGAGATTTTCTTTACACTATACTTTCTCGAATAAAAAGTATGAGGTAGTGTAGTAATCATGCAAAAAAAAAAAATCGAGATTTGAAATTTTTACAAATCTCGACATTTTACACGGCTACAGGACATTACCCCCCTGGATATTTCCCCCCCGGACATTTCCCCCCCGTATTTACCCCCCGGTGCAATTACCCCCCTGTCAATTACCCCCCTGTCAATTACCCCCCCGGGGAATTACCCCCCTCCTCTCAAGTTAAAATCCTAACTCTAACTAGGATTTTATCCCTATACAGGGGCGTAGTGAGGGGGGGGGGGCGGGGGCAGCGGACCGCACCGGGTGACACCATTAAGGGGGGTGACACCAAGGCAAAAAATAGCAAAATATATAGAGAAAAACTCGAGGGGGGTGCATATCGAAAGTTTGAGGGGGGGGGGGGGGGGGCAAATCGAAAACTTGAGGGGGGGTACAAATCGAAAGTTTGAAAGTTTGTCCCTTGGAAGGGTCTCTATGTCTCTGGGGGGGGGGGTGACACTATTAAGTGCCGCCCCGGGTGACACCCGACCTCGCTACGCCACTGTCCCTATATACTACTTTAATCCAAACCTTAAGAAAAATACCAAAACCTAAGCATCCACCTTAGCCTAAACCTTCACACAAAACCAAAACCAAAGCTAGACACAACCCTAACCCTAAAACTAGCTTTAACCCTAACCGTAACCCTAGCTCTAACTCTAACCCTAACCCTAACCCTAGCCCTAATCTTAACCCTAACCCTAGCCCTAACCCTAACCCTAACCCTAACCCTAACCTTAACCCTAACCCTAACCCTAACCCTAACCCTAACCCTAACCCTATCCCTAACCCTAACCCTAACCCTAACCCTAACCCTAAAACGTAACCCTAACCCTAACCCTAACCCTATCCCTATCCCTATCCCTAACCCTAACCCTAACCCTAAAACGTAACCCTAACCCTAACCCTAACTCTAACCCTGTCCGGGGGGGGGGGGGTAATGTCCTACTGGGCGGGGGGTAATTGACAGGGGGGTAATTGACAGGGGGGTAATTACTCTGGGGGGTAATGTCGGGGGGGGGAAATATCCGGGGGGTAATTGACAGGGGGGAAATGTCCTGTTCCCATTTTACACCTCCTTGAGTTAGAAAAAAAACATACATTTGCAATTTTGTCCGCATGTCTCTGTGTGTGTATATGTGTAAGCCTATGTCTTTAAACACGATAACTTCAGTATTGGTACAGCTAGGCTAATGAAATTATATATATAAGTAGTATATCAAATGTGTAGTTCGGTATCAACTTTTCCGCGATTTTCAGAACATGGAACTGGGACTTATTCATATGTAATTAAAAGTGTCAGTT